TGCATAATATAGTCCTGACGTATAACATTGTATAAATTCATCCTCAGCATGACACTCTAAATTCATTTATTTTTGCAGGGACTTAATTTGGTGGTAGATAGAAAAGGGGAGGTTTTTGCAGTGATTTTAGCTCATGTAGGAAACAATTTTGTAGTGGAGTTATAGTACAATTGCATAACTGTTATACAATTGAGAGGAATAATAGATGTTGCATGCAATCTTATGAGTTATGTGTTTCTGGTTAATAAGAGGTCGACACTGGGCAAGTGACTACCGTGAACATTTCAAGTTGTACTGTAACTCATCCCCTCATGACGTGGTGAATGTCTGAGTAGGTACGGTACTTATCAGGATACATCAGTCATGATTGTTGCCGAGAAGGACATTTCGAATGATGTTACCTTTGCCTCGAAGATTGTGTTTTCAGTGCTGTTTGTATGTTTGTAGACTGCATAACTCTAGAAGTTGTGAATGTTTCATGATGATACATGTTGGTGGCAAAATGAAGGACAAGTTTTCATTACGGGCCCCCCAGCGGTTTCCTATATCATATACATGTATATATATGTAGTGACTAGCATGCAAAGTGGTGTGCCGAACATGTTATACTTTAAGTATTTCTATGATTAATAGTTCGAGATTTGTATCTGACAGTGTACAGATGGTATACATAGAAGCCTAAATTTTCTGAAGGGTTTGTTGCCAACATTCAGCCACCATGTTTCAGACAAGCTAACATTATCACTTTGTTTGATTTTATGGCAGTTGTTTTGGGAGTATCAGTTCAGATATCTGTCTATTCGGCTGTTAGTCTAGGTTGTAAATTATTGTTATCTTGTGAAAAGAGATGTATTTGAGTATGGTTATTGCTGATAGTTATAGATCGGCATCATCTCAGCTCTGTTATCTCATATCACATCATTATCATGCCCAAAGCTGCGTCTGACATTTGACGAACATCTCAAGCATTGGAAAGGTCATTGACAAGGCCACCCAGGTGTAGGGTAAATTTTGTTATGAACTGCCTAATTTTTTCTCTCTGTCCTGCTTATATTTTTATGTCACTTTTTGTGACCCTCCTTCATGTAGCCTTTCAGAGGAATTTTGAAAAGAACATTTGCCCATGCTCATTTCTCCACAATGCCTTAGGCCTGGATCAGTATCAAGTAGTATAAATATAATATCTAAAATGTTTGGAAAAGCCCTTGACTTATAGCTATCACTCTATAGATCTCTAGTCTGTCCTACTTCCTGCATGTACTTATCCAGTTGTTAAACATGGTGATGAGTGGAGGTGTCACGTCAGGCGTACAAAACAGCCTTGACAGTTCTCAAATGGAGGGGTCCTGATGCAGGGGAAATCTTTGTTTGCCAGATAGTCAAACGTTGGTGCACAAGCCACCGCAGTAATCCCACCAGGGGTTGCTAAATGAGTCTGTGGAAAATCGTATCTCTCACATATCGATTCATCATGCCTCAGACGTGACAAATGAGTGAAGTTTAGCTCCCACAGGCAGACAGTGTGGGAAACATTATTCCAGGGTGATGATGATAATGATGATAAGTTTTGCTCCCGTTGGATGGGTTCCAATTTTCCTGAGCAATTCCCTGCGATATGTGTTAACTCGTTCACATCTGCAGACGTTTGGGAGTTATTGGAATCCTTCATCCTTAGCTTGGTGCCATGCACGTCATCACCAGAACTGGTATGATATGTTAATGTAGATTATATTATCCTCACATGCTTCTGGAACTAAATTGCTTGTCATGTACATGAAAGTTATTTTTAGGGTAACAGACCAATCTTTTACTATCTTTTCAGCATATTATTGGTTACTTGAAAATATGGGAAGAAACTTCAGAAAGAAATTTTTCCCATCTTGCATATCATCTATCAAGGTATCAGTTGAAACAGGTTTTGTCACAAGTGATGAGTGGACCACCATTTTTTGTCCATCCATCCTTGTCTGAAGGATGAGGTTGTTAATCTACATGTAAATGTCAGGGTACAGCTGACAGGAGACTTTCTCAGCTGTGTAGCCATGGCAACAGCATGGTGGCCATGGCAACCACACAACTGCATCCCCATGAAGGAGAGACACCTCGGACACCACAAACATGGACAGAAAAATGAGACAGTTAGATCGCGGTAGCCCAAAACTGAAAGGAAAAATTAAGGTCCTTGGAAAAACTTACCACTTTTAAACTGTAAAAATTAAAATGGCCTCATTCTGATGGATCCTAATGCTTGCTTTTACAGCTCTTAATTGGGCTAGATTTCACCAGCAATGCTTGAATACTACTGATACATGAAATCTTTTTTTCTTATTTTTGCATTTGCCACAGACACACACTACAGAAGTCTAAGTCATGTATGGCCACCCACTTAACAGTAAGTAGTCTAAATGGCTTTTAGCAAGGTGTTGCATTTAACTGCAGCATCCAGTAATGTTCAATCAGGATAAATGGATGCTGAAATGAGGGCAGTCATCCTGATGGCATCCTGATTCCACCCCTTACAACAGCACAGGATAAAGTGGTCAATCCCACCTGAGCCCACCCGTGGCCAGGTCACCCGGGGTCATTTTACACCTTACCCACCAGCTCCGCAGAAGAGAAAACCAGATTAATGAGGAAGTAATTCTTACAGAGATTGTTGGTGGGTCGAGCACGAATATGAACAATTTATGGCAACAATATTGCACAACAGTGGTGCTGAATACTGGGTAAAATGGTTAGGCTGACCAGGTTTCCTTCCTCTTGTCACACTCATTTTTTGTATAACTGCCCTCACGCAGATACCAATGGCATTGCACAAGCCAACACATCAATCTAGTCTTGTATCCTGACAAAATACTGACCACTGCTTCTGGCAGTGGTCTCGGCACATTGCCCCAACACAAAAGACCGGGTTGTATCCGATGCTATCATCATTAGGCACGCATCATCTAACCCGACCAAGGATGGGCCACCGTAGTGGACAAAGGGATGGGAGATGGATGGAGTGACCTTGTGGGAGGGAACAAAAGCTGGTCAGGCTGGCCAAGTGAGGCAAGCCCTCCCCAGGGCAGGGGAACACAAAGGTGAAGCCAGGCACTGACAAGCTTGCTTAGCCACCTGACAGATAGGGAGATCCTCCCTGACAACATCATTAGGTGGCATTATAAAGTGTCTTGTCAAACCTGTACTACTAATAAATACACATAATTGGGAGGCAGTCCTTGTTCAGAAGGTTATCACTAGACTAGTGACCACCTTCTGAACAAGGACTGCCTCCCCATTATGTGTAGTCAAAGCTGTAATATTGACAACCTCGTCATGAAGACCTGATCATTGATATACATGAAACAAAATAGGAGCATAACGACTACTCCAAAAGATCCGAACCCGATGGAATGGATCTGTTAGCAGCGCTTGAACGCCACTGTGGAATACAGTCGAACATGTACTGGTGACCACTTAACATAAGGGTCATGTAATTATTGTAGTCACTTTTTTGGTCCCTTAAGACCACGACACGAAAATAAAGTTTCATTCATTCATTCATTGTAGCCAAACTTATTGGATTATCCAATAGTTAGGTATCATGATCTTTAGCCACTTTACATGTAGAGAGATGCTTTTTGACAACATAATTGCATGGCATTGAGCTGCAAGTGGGATAAAGAATAAAGAAAGAAGGTTTACTGATATCGTACAATAGTCTTCTACCTATTTACCTATTTCTGTTTGTGAAAGTTGTCACATCTTAAGATGTATTCAAATCTGCTAGTGGTTTGGAGTGTCTTAGAATCAGTTGTTATTAGAGCTTAGCAACAAGCCTTCGAGATGGACGTTTTTTTCTTCTTTTAATCTGTCCAGCTTTGATGGGGTAGCGGGCGCCACTCCAGTCACCAGACTTATAAATAGGCATCCGCCGCATCTGCAGCCAGCTTTAAACAGTGGGAAGCGCTTAATCTAATTCAGCGACTGCTGAGTGCGGAACTGGCATTAATCACCGCATTAAATGATGTCGGCCATTATTACAGGCCCATCCAATCAATGTTCAACTGGTTTACGACCTGCGGGGCTGGGACGGCACTAACGCTGAAGTACCCATCAGACACGCTCGGCCACGCGCTCATCCGCCGCGTTAGGGCCAATAAATAGGCGCCACTCCTCCCAAGGCTTGAAATACTTTATTTGTTTATTCATTTTTATTTACTGGGTGCATATACACTTTTGTGCAGTCAAATTTGGAACAGTGCACCTAATTGTTCACTGTGGGGCACAAGAGCACCTTTCTTTCTTCAAATTGCAATATCAATACATTGTGAAGCACTATTGTATACTAGAATACCAAATATTCTTGATTTTATCTAAGCGTAAGAAAGAATTATTAGGCCTTTATTTGTTGATCGATAATTTCTATGTTGTGCACTCAAAACATTTCCAGGGTAAATTTCGAGCCCTGCCTCTTAAATGCCTGGAGTACTCTAGTTGGGAAAGCGTCGCTGTTTCGTTTGTTATTGGATGGATGTCTGGTGGCATTACCGCTCGTCATCAGTCACCCCACACTGGTCTCAATACCGGTGATGTAGCTCGTAAAGCACATGATGTGGTCGAGCTGCTCCTGTCAATAGCAATCCCACATCGCCGTCCCCCAGGCACACCGCCTTCCCTCCAAGCAGATGTTGGGGTAGAAAATCTGTAATGTTTTCTGACTGGCCGGGCTTCTCTAACTTGCCATGCTCGTATCACAGGAGAGTTGTCCTTCTGGTGTTCTGTTTTTGATGCCATGTGCTGAAAGTATGTGCTGAATGTATTTTGCCTGTCAATCGAACCCGACATAAAAAGTTTGAAAATTTAACTTTAAGAAGATTATATTGTTGTTGGTATTCTGTTAGTTGTATCAAATATCATTGGAAAGCTGTATTGCCCTTTTCAGCAGGACCTGGAACATGCATAGGTCTAGAATTTGTTAGGTTGATTAAACTTTTGTTTTCATGATTATTTTACAGACCAGTTCCCACCATCAGTCCAGCCCTCCGCCAGGCAGACAAGCTGCTCACAGACCTCAGCTCCATGCGTACACAGATGAAGGGATACGTCCATGTGAGTTGTAACTTTGTAGCCCGGGTATTATTTAGCTTACTGTTGCTCCCATGTTCATTCCTTCTGTACAATCCTATTTAGTTTACCAGTGTCAAAAGTTGTGTCAACAGCTACAACTTGATCATACTCTGTTATCATGCAATCATGAATTAACTGCAGTACATGTCATTGTACCTCTCTTCATCTGCCTTCCAATCACGTAATCACCTTTGCTTCTGTGTCTCTCCCCTACAGGATGCTGAAAAATGGAAATATGACATCAAACACCTTCATGAGGTAACTAACTGTTGACATATCATGCTTGTACACTCATCAATTAGGTAATGGTTATGTGATAAACAGGGCAGCATGTATATACTGGAAATTGGCAACAGTGTAAGATTGTGTCACAATTCTGTCACAAAAATGGATAAATTCAGCAATTGAATGCTGGTGAAAAAAACCTGTTGCCTGTACGTGTAATGCAGAGTGAAGTTTACTGTAGAAACTGTGCCTTGATGTAGGCCTGTGTATAGTCCTTTTCCCATCTCCTCCCTCCCAGTTTATGTGAAGACCAAGCAACCAATCACTTAGGTATAATGGTAGTCACATCAAATCGCCATGTCGATAAGTGAGCCAGACGGCATCACAGTTGGCCTGCATAAATTCTTTTCCACACTTCCTGTTGCTCTCCCGAAAAAAGCCATTCATAAACTTAGCATCTTTCACTTAAAACCATTTTTATTTCTCAAAGCCATTGCCTTATCGTTCCCTAGATATTATTACAAGCAGATCACTTTGTAAGTGTTCTACTCCAATTGCTTTTTTGATGAGGACTTTCCTGTTGAATTGATGTACGCATTACCGTTTGCAATGATTCGTACCTGGGCACTCCTGTAGTTATGGGCCATTGAAAAATAATAAAATGTCCAGTGGGCCTCGCTTGCTTAATTAATGGCTAAACCTGGGGGATTAGCCGGGGAGATTGCATGATACTGTAAAATGGGGCGCCGCGCTTAAGGTTATATTGATGATAGGTCCATTAAAACCTTGAATGGGTTCTGCGCCCCATCCGTCGGTGACATAAACACTTGGGGATGGCCGCTGAAAAATGATGGGCAGGTTTTCATGGCCGATAGCCGGAACTTTGTCCCCGTGGTGAGACAGAAGTGTTCTGAAGTTTGCTGCATAATGTCTGTTTTCAGACATTTGCATGAAACATTGCACGATTCAGTTGTTACTCCAAGCATATTGGGTTAGAGATGTTTCAAGATCATTTATACGTCTTTGTGTCCATTTTGAGGTGTAGGGAAAGAGAAAAAAAACATGCCCCACTCCAAAATGTAAAACAACAGACACTACATCTGCTTGGAGATTAGTGTTACTACCTGACCTTGCTATAGATCAGCACATGAATTGTGGTCACCTCCAGGTTGCAGGTTGTTTTCTTCTCTTCCCCAGGAGGCTGAGCGAGACAGACTGGCCGCCCGGCGGCGCGCTGCCCTGGGAGAACCCGCGCCCATCGAGTCCTACCTGGCCACTACATCACCTCAGGTGGGCCAAACTAACTCATACAGCCCTCCAGGTGTGTCATCCATCTGGTCACAACACCTCAAGGTACAAGGGCCAGTTTTTGGATGAGACTAAATTTTGGATTGATATAATCTGAGGTAGGCAAAACAAGCCCATATTCACATCTTTAAATGCATACAGTCCCCCATGCAGGTGCAAGATCCATCTGGCCATAACACCTCAGGGTACAGTGACCATTTTTTTTTTAATGAGACTAAATCTTGGCCTGATGGAAGTCATGTCAGGAAGTCTAATGAAACCCACAGCTATATTTCCTACATTCATACACCCCTCCAGATACTATGTGAACCATCTGTCCATAACACCTCAGAGTCTACTAGTACTGGCCAGTTTTGAGAAACACTGAATCTTTGCTTGATACATGTACAAGCCACGTCAGGCTAGACTACATAAACCAACAGCCATAGCCCTTTCCCCATAGAAAAGTTTGGTTCTTAAACTCCAGAAATTGGATATTTTGTTGCCAGATGACAGAAAAAAATTGCAGCTGGGCGGAAACCTGGGCCGGAGACTAAATCTCAGCACGATACAAGTCGACAGGAAACCCCAACGTTAGCTCATCAGCCACGCCACTGAGCCAGACACATGGGCTTCTCACCCCCGCTCCATGAATCTGTAACTTCCCACGTCAGCGCTGCTCCCAATCTGGCCGGTAGGTGAGGATGTAGCGGAGCGAGGCCGTGACATGTGGCGCTCCAGTCCGTCCATCAGCCGGGGTGGCCCAGCTGATTCATACCCTTCCCTTCAATGGTCGGTGAATCAGCTCGGGACTAATGGACACTTAAAGCGGAGGCCCCTGAACGAATGGCCGACGGCTTCTAACACCTCTTGTGGGGGAGAATTTACATCCATTTTCTTGCATTACAAATCTAAAACCATCCCAGGGGGATGTTGGCTGTATGGCAAGGCGATCTGTTTCTCCCAATACTGTAGATGTTAGATGGTCAACCTATCCAAAAAGTTGCATGCCATCAATGCTGTTTGTTAGACTTTTGAAATAGTTTTTTAGACTTATGAGATGGACATAAAACGTATGCTGATTGAGTCCATGTATTTGATTTGTCCCTTGCTACTTTTTAAGCAGAATTAGTACTAACCAGGGGTATTGTACGAAAGTTTGTACACATTGGAAGCAACATACTAGTACTTACCAATGTAGCTGTTAATTGTGTTTGTTGTAAGCAACTACGTAATTTCCCTAGCACAACAACCTGTATTCTCTGTGATGACCAGTGGAATATTAGCTCTTCAGTGAGCTAAACTGTGGTAACTTTTTCACTGTTCACATGTTCACTTTTTCCAAAATGCCCAAAAGTTTTCTTGAACTCCATGCAGTCATATCAATTCCTTCTAGCAAACCTAGCAGTTCACTGTCCAAACAGATGGATCCATTTTCGTGGGTCGGTATCTTTGAGTTTTCACCAAAGGCAAGCTGGATAACAATATCTTTAGCATGCACACCCCAGCCATTTTGAACACGGAGCACAAAAGTTTCCATAATCTTTTCCCAACAGAGCTGTGTCCATGTCCCAAGCCCTTCCTAACGTCTGACAAGAAATATATAGCCGAGCAGCAATCTGTAGTGGCCGTAGCCCTAGGCTGCAGAGGGTGGTAAATGTGCATGTCAGCCCTCCCCAGCTGCCATGGAATAAGTCACTGCAGAGTTCGGCTTCTTTATCGTCTGTTGTCCACTCTAGCCCCTGGCCAAGATAAAAACAGGAGCAAGAGTGATGGGTGACCAGGGGCCATGGAGAGCGCCTGTGTTGTACGCCGGAGAAAATGAGAGAATTCTTCATGCGCTGTAGATAAGTTTGGACACAACATGTCATCCGGCAGGGGTCAGGCTGGGGTGGGAGTTAAAGCCAGCAGCGCTCAGGCATAAGAGAGCCACGGCTGGAGGGACGTCCTCCAAATGTCCTTTTATGTTGCGTGTGCGATACGGAGATGTGAGGATGGAAGGTGAAAGGTGTGACTCTGACAGACAGCCATGGTGATGTGATATGTACCCCACATTACTACAGTAGACAGCACTTGAAGAGGGCAAACCTAATATTTCAAGGCAGAGTTGTTTCCACTTGGCAACTTTGTGGTAGGAGTTCCTCTAAGCTCGTGACCTGCCGTATAGAAGGAAGCTGCTACGTAGTGCTAGGAGGGTTCACCTATCCTGCAATGGTTGATCTGGATCCTTATGAGTCTGGGTTTATTTCTTTAAATATTTGACTCTTTAAAGAAATTTCTGCTGTTGAAAATATAGCCTTTCTTCTTAAGTGACAGATAGGGTCAATCATGTGTAGGGCTGCATACCATAACATAACATTAGCTCCATGTTCAGGTACATGTACTTTACCCTTACCTTAGGAATTCAACAAGAAAACCTGTGGCCTTTAATGATGACAGAATCAGTCAAACAGAATCTTACTTTAACCATCTTATGCAAAGAACTGCAAGAGGATTTGAAAAATCAAAGATGGTGCTGATTTCAAACCCTACTCCAAATAATTCATCATTCTTTGTCCCAGTTTTGCTTAATGATTGTCCGTGTTGCTGTATTGATTTCTTCTAGTTGACACCATACATCATTTCCCTCTGCCCTTCGGGTTATCATCAATAATTGGCTGAAGAGTTTGTAAATCCCTGCCGCACTTAATTGTTACCTCCCCAGTGGGGGAGATTACTCCTGACAGCAGCATTGAGTGTTGATAAATGGGAAGTAAACATTACAGGATCGCTCCCCATTGTTGCTTTTCCTTTATGCCTTACTGGCAGGATAAGGAAAAGTCAAGGTTGAATGTAAACTTCCTACATGCCCAATGGGCACACTGTATCTAAGGACTGCCATTCACTTACAACTGTGGATTTATTTTAGTCCATGGCACTGAAATTTCACAGCACAATGAAAAGCTAGAGTTTGTGCAGCATCTAGGAGTTTTTGGTTGAAACAATAGTTACTGTAATATAATTGAAGACCAAACATTCATGGCATGATGATTTTGCAGTGAAAGATCCCAACAGCAAAAAATTAAAAATACAGCAGCAGAAATTACTGAATTTGCTGTATTATGTTATCAAGCATGACAGAGGGACTCAGAGGCATATTTAGTACTTTATTGCAAGAGTAAATACACAGATGTGATGAGTTTTTACTCCATGTTGAAGCTGTCATGCCACCAAGAACCCCAGATGAGACCCTCATGATTGATTGCTCTTACAGGTTAGACCACCACTGGCCATGCCTACAAGTGTTCCAGTCCCCAGACCAGGGATCCCACTGTCCACAGGGCTACCACTGTCCACAGGGTTACCACTGTCCACTGCTCCCATGTCTACAGTCACGTCTGGGAGAAACAAGGAATCAGACATCTCACCAGCATACAGCAAAGCTCGCAGCATACTGGACCAGGTATGTTTTGTCCTCTGGATTTTAGATGTTTCACCTTACAGGTCATTGCATGGATGATGTTCTTACAGTCAGGATTTCATGTTAAAGGTCCCTATCACTTCCATTTTCTGTCACTGAATGACACTCATGGAGTCATTACATTGCTGTCCTTGGTGCTGAATATATCTCATTCTTGTGTCTTGTTTGTCCTTGTACTGAAAGACTTTCACACTGGTTTTATAGCTCTCCGTGGTATTGAATGGCTCTCACTCTAGCTTCACCACTGTCCCTGGTGCTGAATATCTCTTACTTCAGCTTCTTAGCTGTCCCTGGTGCTGAATGACTTTCACACTGGCTTCATAGCTGTCCCTGGCACTAAATGACGTTCTTACAAGCTTCATAACTATGTAGTAAGTTTAAACTGTAATTTCCAACACGACAAAAATTGGACTCACCCAAATTTTCGACTGTACAACTCCAGTCTTTTTCAAGGAATGAGCAATCCACCGCTTCCGTGACGTCACGCAGATAACACACGTGACTCCGTGAGCAGTGGATCATAGGTTGCAGAAAGTCTGTGGCGCCCCCCGTCTCTGTTGAGGGATGGCTGTAAAGCCCTGATGTATATGGCCTCTTTAATCCCTCGTGCAAAAAAGTCCGGTGGATTGCTCATTCCTTGAAAAAGACTGGAGTTGTACAGTCGAAAATTTGGGTGAGTCCAATTTTTGTCGTGTTGGAAATTACAGTTTAAACTTACTACATAATGACTTCTACCAACACAGATGAACTTTCAAGATAAGCTTCATAACTGTCCTTGGTGCTGAATGTCACTTACACTACACACCTGTACCTGTGTTTAGGTGTGTAACCCCTGTCTGTACCTGTGTTCAGGTGTGTAACCCCTGTACCTGTGTTCAGGTGTGTAACCCCTGTCTGTACCTGTGTTCAGGTGTGTAACCCCTGTACCTGTGCCCATGTGTGTAACCCCTGTACCTGTTCCCATGTGTGTAACCCCTGTACCTGTGCCCATGTGTGTAACCCCTGTACCTGTGTTCAGGTGTGTAACCCCTGTCTGTACCTGTGTTCAGGTGTGTAACCCCTGTACCTGTGTTCAGGTGTGTAACCCCTGTACCTGTGCCCAGGTGTGTAACCCCTGTACCTGTGCCCAGGTGTGTAACCCCTGTACCTGTGTTCAGGTGTGTAACCCCTGTCTGTACCTGTGTTCAGGTGTGTAACCCCTGTCTGTACCTGTGCCCAGGTGTGTAACCCCTGTACCTGTGCCCATGTGTGTAACCCCTGTACATGTGCCCAGGTGTGTAACCCCTGTACCTGTTCCCATGTGTGTAACCCCTGTACCTGTGTTCTGGTATGTAACCCCTGTACCTGTGTTCAGGTGTGTAACCCCTGTACATGTGCCCAGGTGTGTAACCCCTGTATCTGTGCCCATGTGTGTAACCCCTGTCTGTACCTGTGCCCATGTGTGTAACCCCTGTGTGCAGGTGTGACCCCTGTACCTGTGCCCAGGTGTGTAACCCCTGTACCTGTGTTCAGGTGACTGTCAGTCGGCGTTACCTGGAGGATAACCTGGAGGCAGTGATGCGAGCAAAGGACCAGTCCCAGCTTTACCAGCTCATGGACAGTCTGCACCAGGAGGGGTAAGGCTCATACTTCTACTCACTACAAGGTCAACAACATGGTCTTATCTATTACAGATAAACCCATACTAGTGACCAACTCTGCATATACCAGCAGACCATTGATATGCAGTCAAGTCTGTTCTTGTGACCACCTCTGCATATACACCACCTGGCCATTATGGCCACTTGTCATTGATCCTGTAGAGTGATAGTAGATATGACAATTTCTTTTACATGTTTTACAGCCCGAGTGCAGACAGGGCTCGCATCAGGAGGGAGGTGGACGCCATGATCAACCAGCTGACTCCGGAGGTGGAGGTAGGAGAGAGTTCCATGATTTTGTAACCTGTGAAACAAGTTGTTGCTGTTAAAGGTCTGGTATTTGGACAGTGTAATGATGTGAGCTAGAAAAGGACTTAGTGATATGCTGAAAAGCTGTCAATAGTGTAACAAGAAGTGAGAATTCCTTGGAACTGAACCCACTAAGCTTTCAATAATATGACCTACCTTTCAACAGGATGACGTCATGAAACACTTGACGAGAAATCCAAAGCCCAAAAAGGTGTCCTTTGTCGAAGAACAAGTGCCTGAACGTGACACAGGACCGGGTGTGCCCCAGGCTGAAAAGTCTCAGCCCAAGACGGTGAGAGGAAGAGCTCAACCCAGGATAAACACTGGGCTAAGGAGGCCTTCAAAGGCAGCAAAGACCACTGGGAAGGAAAAGGGACCAGTGAAGTCTGAAGAGAGGAGTAGAAAATCTCCTGTGAAAGAAAAGGTTATTTATTCCTTTTGTTTATCTATCACCATGCCCTATGTCTAGCTCTGATGCAGAAATATGTGAAATACATTGTACTTAAAAATGATTTACCAGCCCAACGAAGCTATGCATGGAAAACAGAATATATTTTGTTATCTTCTTTTTCATCAGTGTATTTTTCTACGATAAAATTCAGTTTATTCAGTGAGAAGTAGAACCAGTCAGTATTGTCCTGAGGAAAGTGGCAGATGAGCACCAAAATTTTGGCTAGGTATTAACTCACTAGTTGTGTAAAACTTTGCTATCCAGTTATTCACCAACCTGCTGAAACTATTCACCGTGCGTGGTTCAGTCACTCAATACTTATATTCTGCAAATAACAGTTTGTTCTTATTGCACCTTTTCCTTATGACAGTCCAAGCAGACGAGAGATGTGCCCTTCTATGAGCAGGATGAGACGTACCTGACCCGTGTGTATGGCAAGGCCCGACACCATCCCCACAGAACCACCGAGAAGCAGCCATACCTCCACTTCAACTCACCTCCTCCCAGGACCAAGGCTCCCAGGCCCAAGCCTGCTGTAGATACTAAAGGTAAGATGTATAAGATGCTAGGAAGGGACAGAACAGCTACCATTTGACTTTCGGGTGTGCATATTGTTGCATATCAATTTGTCAACAATCAGTCTCTGAGATAGGCTTGTATCTTTAAGTGCATGTAAAACTTTTTCTACGTGCGGTCTGCGGATTCACCACCCGTACATGCGAGTACAGGCAACGCGCGTGCCCCGTGTGAGTATGGCCTCCTTACGGTAAAGTTGCAATCGCACAGAGATCGTACGTTGTGAGCACGTACTACCCACTTTCCACTTGCACAACGAACGATGCACGCAACTGCTCGCGGTCAGACGTGGCGTGCAGACCACACTCTTACACCTTGCGCAACCGTGTGAGTGACGTGCGTCGATGCCACTCCTTCCCCACGTTTTCAGAAAAGCGTAGCAGACGTGGCCTCTCAAAACAAAAAAACGTACGGACAAAAAGCATGCACGGCGGGTTGTGACCCGGGGCTTTAGTGTGTATTTCAGGACACTGCCTATCAGGACACAGAGGACTGTCATTGCAGATCTTGCTTTTGCCTCTTACAATAGTACAGCAGTAAGATCGCTTCTGATGCAAAAACAACACCTTGAAGTAAGTCCAAGTACTTTCTGTTTCACTTCAGGCACCATTATGAAGTCCATTAAGACACAGACCAAGGAGAAGCCTGCTCCAGGCAGAACTGCAGGCCCTACAGGACAGTATTACTTCTCCCCTGCAGCCCCCTACCCACAGGCAGGAGTCCCCACCCCCCAGCAAGGCCAGCTCATCCCCATGGCCATCCCCCTGGGGGCACCCAGAATAGAATCTTCTCACAATCAGGTGAGTCCTAGGTATTACTGTAAATCTTGAAATTTGAGCTTTTAGAAACTTTTTACCATTTGCCATATAGACGCTGTCAATCTTAAGAAGGCTCATATAGGAATTTGCAAACCTCATAACATGGAAAAGAATGCTGATGTAAGAAACTTAAATATCATATTCCAACAGACTTACTAAACATCATCCTGATATGTTTTTCTAATATTTTTTTTTCCTCCATTCCTGCTCAAACCTGTAATCAGGCTGTACCGTTGGTAGCTCACACCGCTCTACCAAACAGGACTCAGGGCACTGCCAGGCCCAATGTGGCGACTGTTACCATGGTGACAGACAAGGATGCTCGTAAACCTAAACTCTCAGTACAGGTGGGTGGACTTGACAATGAGCTACACATTTTGTTAACCTGCAGTTGTGTGTGTACCGGAGAAAGTCTGTTTTGCCAAATAAACAAGTGTAGTGTTTGCAGTGGTAGAAAAGATGAACATTCTGAACCATTTATGGTCCATTTCTGTAGGTGATGCCAGCTGTTGACATTGACAGTATCCCACAAAGCCCTGCCTCAGACACTGCCCCTAAAGCCACCTTCCCTCCAGAGATACCTTCAACAGACCAGGTAACTACAGCAAATACTACATACTGAAGTACATGTATCATCCATTGATTATCCATACTTGAGGCAAAACTGATTGCAATGAATGTGATTGATACTCTTCAAGCAGATGGTAATGTTCTCTGACGTCAGGTTTTCTAATTGTCCTTCACCCCTAAGTTGTGATAGCTTCCGGGCCAGTCAGAAAACAATATAATTTTCTACCCCAATTCTGCTTGGAGGTTAAATGTGATGCTTCTTGAAAGTACTAGTATCATAATGGTAGTGGAATAAGCAGCGCCACACTGTGAATGAAAGTAGAACTGCAGATTGCAGTATTCATCACCATATGGACATTACCTATAATCAAATGGCTGTAATGTGAGATTGAAGGATGTTGAGGATGCTGGTTGTACTCTTCCAGTAGATAATGTTTCACAGCATACCATAGGCTACTGTTAGTGTAATGAAACAGCAATAAAAAGTGAGTTCTACTGTTTTCTTAAATCTGTTTCCTGCAGCCAGTTGGTCGGCCTGATGACACAGAGTACAGTGAGTTTCCCCACTATGGAGCAGAGGTTGAAGATGAAGCAGAAGAGATCGTAAGAACCTTTCTTTAGTTGAGTAGTAAATTCTTTAGGCACAATTCTATGATTACATAATATGGTACCTGTGTTACACATATTCTTTATTTATGTGTGTGACCTTTCCTACTCAGGATGAGATAGAACGTGACCTGAAGCAGCCTGGTACAGGCATGACCGTGGAAGGGGACATGAGAGAAGAGGGGAGGGAGTACCATGGTCCCCCCTTCCCCCCACAGCCCCCTCCTCCAGAGGTGGTCCAGCCCTCCTCTGAAGTGCTAGCTGAGGAACTGAGGAGGAGGAATCAGGTGGAGAACAGAGCAGTGGAATGGTAATGTTACCAGCAAATTTGCGGATTTATTTCTTCAAGCTTTTTCCCATGAATTTTCTTTTATTGTTTCTGAACTATCAATGCATACACATGCATGTATGTACAATTTGACATCAATGGTTCTAAAGTTTGGAATTTTTGTGGTTTTATTCATATGTCGGTCGGACATTTTTTTCTGAAAAAAAAAGTATGCACTGGGATTTATTGTAAATTATTGGTTTAGTTTGTTCTTTGGTTCAAATGTTCTCAGCTTATATGGTTAACCATTTTCTTGTTGTTTTGTGATGGATTGCTGAGTAATTTGGTCCTTTTACTCTCCCAGGATTGAAGCAGAACTCATGGCACAAGTCATCAACCAGCTGTACCCAGCCCAGCGACCGGAGTCACCCCCAGAACCCTCCGACTCAGGGAGCTCTGCTGGAGAAGCTGACACAAGGGACCCTGGTACAGGTACTTACTTGCATATATGCACTTACATACTTACTTCTTATTCTCTTTGTCTTTGTGAGAGGTAAGGTTTTGACTTTTTCTTTCTGCCTGTGTCTATCCTTTGCCATAATCTGAACTGATTGTCACGAAAGCCTCATGGATGCCAGGTTGTCTGACACTGTTCTCCTTTATGTACTGTAACATTTGCAACATTTGGCAACAAATAAAAAGAATAAGATAACTTTAATATACATGAACATTCTGTATTTTTCTGCAGTGTCAGCGATCGGGCAGGCAGGTCTGCAGCTGTTTGTTGATGCGGGGGTTGCCGTGGATACGGAGCTGGTGCAGCGGCTGGTGCGGGAGGTCCTGGAGGAGAAGGTGGCAGCCATGATGGGTCAGCACGAGAGGCAGCGGGCAACCCCTCCTCCTCCTCCCCCCTCACAGCCGTACAAGGAACCCTCACCTGCACGCACGTCACCCAAACAGGTAAGGGACAAACAGGACAAGATTTGAAATTCAGTAATCCAATGTACAGCTTAAGCATCAGTTTATTATCAGCCAAACATTTAGGGGCCATATGGGACAAGCTTTTCAAATTTACAAATGTCAAATGTTAAATCTAGTATAGTTTACATGATTGTGTAGACTATTTGTCGAATACCTGTAACTAATTGACACTGAGAGTTTGTGTAACACAGTCTGCTGTAGGACACTGTTGCTTGACATATCTCTTTAACAATGTTCTGTTCTTTGTTTCCATGTCCAGGTCAGCCCCCTCCACACCCCACAGCCCACTCCCAAGACCAGCCCTGTGCCCAGCCCACCACGAGGTCCGTCTCCCGTAGCAACGCCCGAGGCCACGCCCCACAGCTCACCCGAACCCTCCCCGGCAGAGTCTGAGACGGAGAATCTCCATGAAACTCTTATCACACCAGGTTAGGCCACACCAATTTCTTTTCTATGTTCCCAGACATTCTGAGGTAGAAATGAAAAAAAGTACAAAACAGAGGGCTGGGGGAAAAACTTCTATTTCATTAAAGTCTGTTTCAAGTCACTTTCTGAAACAGAACATACCAGTATCAAGCTCCCCCTGAGGCTCAGTTTTCATGCTAATAGTCCTTAGAATTTTCAACAAATTAGATTGGTATGCCTGATAGGAAGTGTCACATATAACGTCTGATTATGTTTCCTTCTACAGCACCACCTCCAGAAGAACCATCACCCCCCTCCCCCGTGGAGCCAACATCCCCTGTCCCAACGCCTGTCCCCACCCCTACTCACAGCCCACCCCCAGCGGTCACCCCTCCCCTGACCCCCCACACCTCCCCCCACCCCTCGGAGCTTGAGGTGGAGCCCCTGCCCCAGTTTCCCCTGCCCTGGGGAGATGATGTGGACCTGCCCCTGTCTGAGGAGGCCCCGCCCACTGCCGCTCAGCAGCCTGGAACTGGGAAAATGTGAGATATTGTCTTTCTTACCTCATAACAAGGGAGTGAAGTGTTGTTTTTGCATGTCTGTGTGTTTGTTGAGTTACAAAAACATTCTTTGCTAAGTTTGTTTTGTTGAATGCCAGTGAGGTATTGTCTGTTTCTTTTTCATTGATCAACATTAAAAAGTACAAAGCAAGGCAAGGAAGTAATGAATTCTAGATTTGCAAGCTGCTAGTATCAGCATCACTACTGGAAAATGAAAATTAACAATGACAAATACATGTACAGTAAAGAATAACAGCATATTGTTTGTATCCCATTTTTTCCAGTGAGATGTCATTGTCCCCAACTGAAGAACCGACAAGTCTGATTCAGCTTCCCCCTCCCCCTGTCACACCAAAGAGCCTGCCTCCGCCCAAGGAGTCTCCATCGTCTTCTGAACACTCCCCTCCACCGTCAGAGTCCAGCAGTTCCTCCACTATCACCACGGTAACAGAGACAGCTGACGTGTCCCTGTCCGAGGGGGAGTGGCTGTTCAGTAGGGGCCAGGCAGGAGCTGTTGGGGGATTAAGAGGTAAGCAAATGTCTAACGTTGTTTCAAGTATTAAATGACATGGATAGAAGTTGCATAACTTGAGTTTGTCACTACTTTGTCTGATCTGCTTATATTGTTTGCTATTGTGTGAAGTAGAACCTGTATCTACCTGACCATGATAAACTGTCTGGTACATGTCTGAAAGATGTATTGGTTGTTGTGAAATGTCCCTACCTGATGCTGTTGTTCAGGTGTTGCTGGAGGTGTTGGTGAGATCAGGTCAGGTGACAGCAGTCTGGCCAGCACACTGGAGGGGGCTGAGGAGATGGACCATGAGCAGGTAACAGACCAGTAACATTTGGTGCTGGTTCAATAGGTGGCACAAAAATAGTTGTGAATACCGAACCATGGTGATTTGAGCATTAGATTTACATTACATGCTGCATGGTGTGGATGTAGATGGAAGAGTGGTTTAGCTTTATTGTCTAAAACTTTTTTTGTCGGTTTAACAGGAACCTCCGAGTGAAGGTGAATTGCTGCCAAAAGCCCTGAGTGATGTTCACAAAGACCCCTTACTCGCCCTCCTGGCACGTGCGAAACAGCCCGTTAAGAAAATGGTGGAGAAGCCAGCGCTCGCTCAGGGGGTGGCAGACAACGATGCAAGCATTGGGGAGGTCAGTGAGGGTCAAAGACCTCGGTTAACCCAGACTGCTGAGAGAGTTCTCCTTGGAGAGGCCCAGGACACCAGGAGAGGTTCACACGGTGAGGCAGTGGGCCGTACCATTCCTGTGGACAGTACTGCTCCTCCTGAAGATAGCACCATGGTGCTGTCTGACTTGGAGAGGCCGTCGACACGGAAGCCAGCCCCGCGGGTGATCAGCGTCGCCTCGGCTGATGACTCCTCCCCCAGGCCCTCCCCACGATCTCGGACTCCCCTGGCAGCCTCCAGAGGCCAGCAGAGGAGCGGAGACTCTGACACGAAACCGGCCAGGGTGATCACCGTCAAGGCTGTGCCTGAAGACGAGGTGCCAGAGGAAGGCAGGACAAGCCAGCAGGGTAAGACTGACTGCTCCCAGTGTACTGTTGGGTGATGAGCAATTTTGATAAATTGATTTCCATTAAGTAAACCAAACATGACACAGTACTTCGAACTGAAGTAATTTTAAAGTTGCCTCTTCTTCCCAGTCAGCCATCATCAGTTTCATTACTTCTGTACTGTGAGAATGGCTCATCTGTTGGGCTGATTTCTGTTTGTGGAACTGTATAGACCTACAGTTTTCGCTCGATATCGTTGTATGGTAGTTAGTACAAACTAAGGAGGATGGTACCTAGGCTAGAACAGTATTGGTTACAAGGAGAGCTTCATACCCAATTTAACATCAGTTAAGGCTTAAGTACAGGTCCAGACAGGTAGGAATTACATTTTTGTAACAAAATAGATAATATATGCTTGACCATAAGACTATTGTACAAAACTGACACATTACTGTTTCAGTATTTTGGACCTGTATCTAAATTTTTTTGCAGTACCGTAGCACTCAGCCCTCCAGTCACAAGTATCCTGCCACATATTTTTACAGGATTACAAGGGACCCACACATTGAGTGACATGGACACCCGGACCTTCACTCCAGACCAGATGAACTTAGATGCCCTCATCCAGTCTGGCTACCTCACCCAGTCTCTCAGCCAATCAGATCACAGCGCTGACCTGGGTAGAACAGGTGGTTCCACAACTGGATTGGACACTCTCAACCAATCAGGACTGGGCATGGGAAGAACAGGTGGTTCCACTACTGGAATCAACCAGTCAGGACTTGGCACTGGAAGACAGGCACGTAGTTTCAGCCTACCAGTTGGTGGAGCTGAGAAAGAGGAGGATGACCCGCGTAGAACCTCCCTAGTGGTGTCCCTAACTTTGCCCAGTATCCAAGGAGAGAATGACAGTGTGACTGTTAGCTCTCTGGAGGGGGGAGAGTACAGTGCAGGGGAGGTGTCAGACATATCTGAAATTTCTGGGGGTGGCTTCTAAGTAAGCATATACGACAAAATCATTCATACCCCATGTGACTTTTTATTTCAAGTTGTTTTGTTCTTTAAACTACCACTTCAACTGACACCTAAATAAATTAAAAATAGGTCAAAATTCCAATGTACTACATTTGATTCTTGAGAAAAACAAAGGGGTGTTAAAATATTTGTTCACTGTAGGTTGGTAGGCAGGTTTTTTTACATTGCTTTAGTCGAGGACATTCTTTAGTGTCCTTGCTTTAGTGCAGACTGTCTTGTTCTTTTGCATGGTGTAACATTCCAAAGTCAACAAATTTCAGGAAGTAGAAACAACTTTATTTTGTAGTCTCCAGGTCACTTTGTGAAACTCCAGTATTAGTGCCAGCCCTAAGATCTCAGATGACAGGAATCTGTACCCTTTACTCCAAAATAATTTATCTATTTTTGATGAAATATTAAAATACAAAACTGTACATATCAACTAAGATTTTTATGTAGATGTACAATGTACTAGTATACAAATTTGTGACTGAATACTCTCACAGCCTATTGAATACATGGAGTTGTACAAAATTTGAAATCTAACTTTAATAGTAGATTGTTAATAAGATCTGTTTTATCTTGTGATGAATAAAGTTGTAAATGTGGTCCTGGATATATGACTATGGGTGCATTTGTGGGTGCTGAAATCACTAGTAGTCTGATTGAACCACTACCTTTGTTGATGAGGAACATTTAGTATACATTGTATATGGTACCTTCCCAGTAGGGTTTACGAGTAATAGTATATGTTTGTGCCATCCTCCCATGGCAGGGGCAGCGGCTCCGAATTCCTTCTTCACCCCTACCCCTGCCTGATTACATGGCATTTTCTACTCTACGACCCGATTCCAGGGACACGCTCTCAGCCAATCACGTATCACAGAGAAAATCTTCAACGCACTTCACATTAATATTTATGAGATGCGCTAGCTATCGGAACCAATCATGTCGGCTATTCAGTGACAAATAAAAACAAACATGGCGTCGTCTCGGGAAGAGAACTTTTGCGATGCAGGCCGCTGCGGGCGTCGGCGGGGCGCTAGCGTGTGCTGGAGGCTGCGCGCGGATCCCGCCGAGCACGGGGAAGGTGTTAACTCGGTGACTTTGCCCCGCACGGCCTCCCCAACGCGTTAACGGGCTCGTCACCGGGCGGCGGCGGAGTCGCCGGCGGGGAGGGTGACGTCCCTTCGCCGCCCAAGTCAGAAATGGGGTCATGCCAAATAAGGCAAGCTCATGAATATTAATATTCCTCGGGTCGTAGAGTAGAAAATGCCATGTAATCAGGCAGGGGTAGGGGTGAAGAAGGAATTCGGAGCCGCTGCCCCTGCCATGGGAGGATGGTTTGTGCAGATGTCCAAACAATGGCAAACACAACTTATGCTGGGTAGTCTCTGTACATCAGCAACACTTCAGTATGCTGACACAAACATGGGCAAACAGACCTGTCGCCATGGATGCCACACAATCAAGTGACTGGGTTTGTGGATCAAAGCACAAGACTCTTGATTCCTTTCAATTTGTCTTTGCCATGGCCTCCAAAGAGGTAAACCTTCCCACTGAACAGTTATTCTGCAAAACTTTGAAATACCCAATGCTACCATACTCAGATACCACCATCTTCACTAGGTGTGAAACAGAAAATGTCTGTAAGTAGAACAGTATAGATGTTGCCATTGAGAACTGAAGCTGTCACCTAAACACACACAGTCAAACAAAATGACAGGAACCACTGGTATACACCTTTTCTTACAAAGTTTATTCCTCTTTTATATAATCTGATGCACAAAAGGCACAGAATATCAGACGAAAGTAGATCCGCATTATGATATAACAAGTTCACCCCAGAACCAACATTGCATCACTCAATCAACAGGATATTGTACCTCTATGTACATGCTGAAAGATGATACCTTAATTTCATTTAATGCAAGACACCAAGAAGCTTCCATTAACTATACTATCTCATCAGTTGAAGAGAGATAAAATACAGCAGCATGAGATATGACAGATTGTAAACTTGTAAACAAGTACAAATACAATCATCTTGTCTGCTCACTCTAGAGAATCAATGTCACAGACATAATTCTGATTAGTACATCTCCATGGGTGTGTTCTGAATAAATCTTGGAACTGATAGTGGAAAGAAAATTCCAACTATCAGTTACACTATTTCACCAACTCTATCCCACTTGTACTACTATTTAGAGCACATACTATATAACATTCTGAAAGTATCTGTTTTTATAGATTTTATTAAGTTGCCTCTGCCCCTGGGTAAACATGAAATTAGCGGGCAGGCAACAAGTTGACATCACAACACAGTTCTTTTTCTGAGTACATGTACCTTCAAGTTAATAATAACTCTTCTGTTTGGCACTTCAGAGGTGGTAGACAAAACTACTAGTAGAAAGTGATGTTGGTCCAAGAAAGGCCAGCTGTACTGGCATTACACTACACAACTTATGGCAGTTTAAGCAGTTGCAGCAAACAAAGGATGGTGTAACTTGAGCCAAAAACATAGAAGTGCATGGCAAAAACTATGAGGTTGTTATAAGTCCCTGCATTTTGCAATCACACGTGGAATGTATACTTTACATGAGGAAATGCCTCATGAAAGTTCTACATTAGAAAAAAGTCAATACCCAAGGTAAGAAGAAGTTATTACACAAAAAAGACCCCAATATCTGCTCATGAAGTACCTATTGGTGGGTATTAAATGCAGGCATGATTGGATTAGACTGCTTTGATTGAAGAATACACAGATAATTTTCATCTTAGCTGCACAGTTCTTTTTTAGCTGGTCGTGTGTACTTAGCATCCGAACATCTCTTGTGAAGCGTATGTCATGTACAGGAAGCCATCCTCATCCTTCTCATCCTTGTAGATCTCCGCTAGTGTTGTGGACATGCTGGCCAGACTCTTATTGTTCACGATAAGGTAGAATGCCTGGGACGCACTCAGAGACATTCGGTTCCTGGAACACAGGCAGAACAAAATGATTAGGCGCAAGTATTTCATATCATCATCATTATTTTCAATCATCATCATCATTTTTCAATCAACATTACAGACATTTATACATACAATGATGTACACATACCTCAATGGCATTGTTTTTATAATTTGAAAGTTTCAGTTAATTACACCTTCACCTTGTCCCACAGTTCATTGCACACACATACAAACAGACATGTCAATCATTACAGCCCCAGTGTCTGGTTATATAGGTGGGTAGCCTGAATGTGATAAAGTCCAGCCAGGGAGTTGGATATGGTGTCATAGCTGTTGATCTAGATGTAGGTACAAGGTCGTGTAGGGGAGGCTGTCTTGCACAATTTGTTTGAAAAGTTTGAGAGAGTTTTACTTACAAATTGCAAACTAGTATCTTTTCAAAGGACATAAATCTGTTATGGTGTAAAAAGCAACCTCAGCCAAATCTTCAGAAACTTCAAATCAGTTTGGCTGGCTGTGCTTACCCTTGATACATTCAAGAAGATAAAGCACTGAAAACACTTCAAGCTGGTATTGAACATTTGCTTTATGTGAGGCTATACCAGCTGTTGAGAAAACCTCTGCAGGTTACACTGCACCTGTTCTACCTCCTTCCACACCAAAGTAGGTCAACCTTTACCTGAGTGCCAGTCACATGATACTCACCAATTTATCAACAATGGGGAATTTTCACACATATATGCATAACATGAAGTGAACTAACACTTAAATCTAGTGCATGTGTATGATATAATTCATTTCATGCAGCATTAAAAAATGAAACCTGTGGGAATTTGTCATTGCCTAACTATAGTCTATTGAGACTTCTTGTTACCAATAATTGTCTGACAACATGCAAGATAACAGGGTCTGTAAAAGCTTTTTACACGCACCACATCTCTTCATTTAGACAGGCTATCATTACTATTACCAAGAGAAGTCTTATTATTTGGTTAATGTTGTCTCCCACTATAACTGGGGTGAATAACATATTGGCTAGCTCATTATGTCAAATGTATGTAATGGAGCCTATTATTCCACAGGAAATATGGAAGTATTTTCTGTGGGATACCTTACTTCACGCATTTGCAGTGTTTTGTACAAACAGGTACACATACTTTTACGTTTACAAAATTTCCAAAACAAATGACGGAGACAATGCTGAACCTTACACTGAACATGAAGCTATAAATATGGAGTAATAAAGCATCCAAGTATCCATCTTTAGTAAAGGGGTATGGAGTGTAGTATAGAGTGAGGCAAATTGATGGTTGCTAAACCTCCTTGCTGTCTAGCGACTCTAGCCCCATAACCAATACAAATTTGGGCTGGAGGTTAACTCATTGATATTGTGTGCTGAAGCCAAACATGCAGAACTGATTAAGAAATTTTGTCATTGACAAAGCAAATCTTAATCCATCTTACTCAGATGATCAGATCTATGTCAAACACAGTGGTTTCCTGAACAAACTTGCCTTTCAGATAATATCTGACAAACGTTTTAAGAACTGCTCTTTATTACATGCTAGAATAACGACCATCTGTGGGTACAACTTGGGCAAATCAAGTCACAGATTGTAGACTAAGATATTTTGGTAGTAAAGCCTTTTGTTTGGGAGCTATGCATACCATAATCTCAGCTTACAATGCCTTATTTTACTTAGTGTATTTTTAAAAAATGGCATCCATTTGAACAGTGGGGAAACCCAAGCTGAAATTCGAGCCACTTGGCAACAGCCCTAGAACTGTTCCGCTTTTAGAACCAATTAGCTGATTAGATATTCAGATTCCCACAGGAATCTGAGAAAGACCTTACTAAGCATAACAACAGCACATCCATTCCACCAGTCTGGTCAGCATTTAGCATAGATAACTTGCAGACAATGCTACTTTTTTTAAAAAGCCTTTCCTCCAGCTTCAACTGATTCTATCTATAGCTACAAAGTTACAATTACTTACATACAGTTTTCCAGTAGTATAGTGATTTTTGACCTGATCTGCCTGTAGGATAGACTATATGTATTTGTATTTTTACTAAACCTCTTGGGGTTAAATCTGCATGACAGTGATTTTTTTCGAGCTTATACGTGTACTTGCAAAAAACGTAAGGTTAAAAATTATGCCTTTTGAACATTCTGTGGTATAGATAGCATTGACTTTTTGAAGGATTCACTTTACAAATTCCAAATCACCATCACACACCCAGCATTTTCAAGGACACATAATAACATTTCATGCCCCTATTGGTCTTCTCAGAAACTGCCATACGTGACAATGCACATGTAGTACATGTACTTTGTAGGGCAGGATTCACTCCTGCCATCTGCAGATGAGAGGATCGCCCTCATGGGGTGACGAGTGACCAGATCTGATAAAAATCTTACACAATCAAACTTCATGGCAGCAGGAACTGCCTTGTACAAACATCCAACAACCACAGGTTGTCTGGCTGGGGGAACATTATTGTGCAATACAGCTGAGCAGCACATGGCCTTCACTAGACTAGTCATGGAATCATTCACCTGTATGTAAGGTACACTCGTGACGACAATTACCATGTAATTATACACCTGGCTGATGAAATTCACAACTTGGTAATTGTTAATCCATGCATAATCTACCACTCAAACTTTTAAATTGGTGGTTAAAATGCTCGTTTAACAATTAACAATTAGCAATTAACAGTTTTCAAATGCTGCTGTGAAGAACTGATTATTAAGATTTGTGACTTTGACAAAGAGTTGGGGGATCCCCTAGTTGAATGTGTATGCAGCGTGACTGTGAGTCAGGTGCGTGCCCACATTATGCATCTCACCTAATGATTGTGACAAATTGGCTCATGGTCAACTCTTGTGGCACCAGGAACTTGGTCTTGTCCAAGATAGGCAGCTCCCTCTCTTTGTGATATCTCTCCACTATCACCTTGAAAAGTAGAAAAGATCATCTTAAGAATTTTTATCACTCTTTTCAAATTCCAAACTAAAGTCTAGTAAAGTCAAGAGGCTAAAAATAGTCAATGTGATGACCATGTGATGCAACACGCACATAAATTTAGACAGTTCAAATTTTGAAGATGTGTATCTTTTTAAACATTACGATGCCGATGGGAAACATTGTACAAGCAAGGTAAACGAACTTATATCACATTTTGCTTTGTATGCAAATTGCGATATAAACAGTCCTGTGCCCTCCTGGGGATTAACAAATCAGCTGTTTTCTAGGAAGGCTCGGAAAACTACCAGGCAAAAATTTGCACAATAATGGCACTAGACACACGTGGCACATTCTACTTACGTCGGGAGAAGGACCCTTGAAAAGGTGCATATTGTTGGTGTTACTTTTGAGCTAGTGGTTTGCAGCAAATTACACTGTATTTCCGTCAGGAAAAAGGTGACAAGTATTTCACAACACCATCTTGAGTTGCAAACAAAAATTGTCAACGCTTGCAAAATCTACTACATCATACTCACGGGGACTTTCGTAGGAAATTTCGCTCTAATACCCTCAACTTCGTCCCTTCTCGTCGCTGTAGAAGGAAAATAAACAGGGGTTAGGGTAGATATAGCGAGAAAATGTCGTGGAAGGACTAACTGCCGCCATGCCCATGGTCCGTCAACACCAAAAAATTATCTATTAAAAAAGACAGCTTTGCCATTTAAATTCCGTAACTCACCAAGGCTCTTTCTCTGCTTGAAGGACTTGAGCGACCTATCCTCAGGCATTTTTGGCACCCTGTTATCTTTAAAAACAGGGGAGAAATGGGGAATTTTGGATGAAAATCCGCAGTTGACTTGGCGAAGCGAAGTTTATCCCAGTCTGTTCTCAACTTGTTTACCGCACGGCTGGACTGGCCCGAACATTACGTCACCAAACTACTAGTATACCCGTACTTGATTGGTCACTTGTAGTCTCGCGAAATCTCGTTTGCGTCTCGTTTGTGTCAGGTCGCGGGAAATATCTTTTGAAATTTGACACTGTGGTAGATGCCAATATATAGGGGGAATAGTAAGTAAACTTGTAAAAAAATGTATCGTAGCAGTAATAAAGCCAATTAAATACAAATATTTCAACCTAATAATAATGTAATCAAGAATGGTTGTGTTATGTAAAAGATTTATTTCATGTGTAACTTAATCATCATTTCACAGAAATATTTTCTCACTTTTAAAGAATGGTTGGACCATAACATTGATCAGCTGTCAAACTGCGAAGTTATCCAGCTGAGAAGCGAGAAACCGAAGCTGACTGCGAGGGAATGTGAGGTGACGGAAGAAGCCAGGAAAACGTCAAAAGAAGAATGATTGCGATCAAGACGTCATGTAAGTCTATGGTAAATCGGGTTTGCTAAAGTACGGTTGCACCCAAGCCAAACCAAACTCTCAGCTCTGTTAGATCCTGCATCCTGTAAAGTCAACAGTTTGGTCCTCGCTTGGCCGAGATTCAAGTCTGTCTCCCGTCACAGAAACAAAGGATCCCGTTCATCACTGTCTCGTCTGTTGAGAGATAACAGCGTGTTGATAGTCTCATATGACAGGAGTTGCCCAGTTTTGAGACCAGCTGTGTCATATCATAACAGATCCTGGCCTAGTATTACACAGCTGCAAAGTTATAGATTACACTAACGGTTAGAATTTTTTTTGCCTGTACCGTTACCTCCTCGCTGACCCAGTTACTGCCCAGATACTGATGATCTAGCACGAATCTTTTTGGTAAGTGCTGTACAAGTGAGGGTCCGCAAAATCTTGTGTATTAGCTATGGACCACGGGTTTGCAAGGCAACAACAGCATAATTTGAGCGGCGTGGCTATTTACACTCCCGGAGTGTATATAAAAGACAAATAGATTTTATATACACTCTGAAATACTAGCCTCCTTGGTAGGCCCAAAACCTGGGTTTTTGTGAGTGTTTGAGGATTCAGGGGCACCAAGTTTAAACCTCGGTGTTCAAGTTTATCTTAGTGGATGATGAAAATCAGAGAACAACACGGAAATCCCCACCGAAGTTCGGTCGAGCAGAGAGCGGACCGCCCCGCCCCGCTTGCGCGGGGCCCGGGACCCTCCGCTCCCGGTGGCGGCAGCGAGACCGGTCGCCCGCCCCTGGCGTCCTCGCTACCTGGTTGATCCTGCCAGTAGTCAAATGCTTGTCTCAAAGATTAAGCCATGCACGTGCAAGTTTAAACTGTCTCAGTGAAACTGCGAATGGCTCATTAAATCAGTTATGGTTCCTTTGATCGTCACATCCTACATGGATAACTGTGGTAATTCTAGAGCTATAATACATGCGGCAGAAGCGCCGACCTCACGGTCTGGCGTGCATTTATCAGACCAAGACCAACCCGGGGTTCGCCCCGGTCCCTTTGGTGACTCTGGATAACCCAGCCGATCGCACGGTCTTAGCACCGGCGACAGATCATTCGAATGCCCTATCAACTTTCCGGGAGTGTATATAAAAGACAAATAGATTTTATATACACTCTCGGAGTGTATATAAAAGACAAATAGATTTTATATACACTCTCGGAGTGTATATAAAAGACAAATAGATTTTATATACACTCTCGGAGTGTATACAGCCACGTTCTAATTTGAGTCTGCGAAGGAGGCTAGCCGATTCCAAGAGAACTCGGCCCCTGGCCATTCGGGACAACTCGGCACCAAGCCCAGGACAAGTCGGCCCCATAATTTCTGAAAAAATCATCAATATTTTGGGCTCCGAGAATTAGTAGCCTCCTGACAATAATCTTAACTTCATTCTATACTAAGACATGTTATTCTTTTTGTGATGACGGACTTGGCTGGACATTCCTTGCAGAGCTAGCATCTCTTTTGTGAGATGTTGGGAGAGCTCCATACTTTATCATAGTTTATGCTGACAGATTGCTGGAAAGGTACCAGTGTAGCTGACATCAGCAACACTGCATAATAGCTCAAACAAGTGTGTGGCACAATTTGTCTCATTCAGTGTCAGGTACATAGAAGTGTACTGATCTCCAATGAAGGTGGCGGGCTGGTGGCAAAGTTGTAACCAACTGGCAATACAGTATCCAATAGGCAAGACTCTATCCAATTACTTCTAACAGACACTACTGCCAAAGTCAATTTGATAGTGTTTTGCCTATTTGATACTCTCTTGCCAGTAGGTTTTGACTTTTTGAACCTCCAATGGAGGTTAATGTACCACCCCTCCGCGCTGGCCGTGCTGTTCACATGTCATCACAGACACCTCTAACAGTTCTCTGTGTTTGCAGGTCGGTGAGAGGCTAGCTGGCCTCTGTCCCACGTCTTCATTTGCATGACTCCATGATGGTGCTGGCTGCACTTCTTCTCCTGTGCCTCCTCCCGCTGGTCTCCACTCTTCAGGACTGTAAGTACACCACTTTGCCAATCAACTATTGAAGTGTCAAAGTGTTATGGATTGTTAACCTGGATGTCAGGCAGTTTCAATGGCACAGACCATCTCCTCCAGGGCCAACATGCCCACCCCAGGGCCAAGGAGATTTTATCACAGCCACAAATTATGGGTGGAGGCTCTGTTAAACCTGGGGTGGCTGTGGCAGAGTTTCCTTGGGGGCATGTTTGGCCAGCTGATGCTGATCAGGAGCTAGTTTGTGTAGGCCCTGGAAACAGTCTGGCATCCAGGCTACTGGACAGTTTAGTTCTTCTTCTTTTTAGTTGATTGGTGGCCAACATCAACGTTCTGATGGCTTTGCCGCACTTGGTTGGTTGTTGAATTCAGAGGTCACAGTAGCATGTTGATGTTTTTCAAAGGTAATGTGTCGGAAAGTGGCAGCTACTGCATGCTATCCAGCTGGACGTTGTACTTTCTCTAGGGTAGTATGTTCTTGTTGCTGTGTGGATCCCACACTGTGCTAGCATACTCTAGTGAGGATCTCACCAATGCCCTATGAGCTGCCTCTTTGAAGGATTTGCTATTGATCTTGATATTTCGTCAAACAAATCCAAGGGATCTGTTTGCTCTATTTGAGATGTGCAGGCTCCATTTCAGGTCCTTAGTGAGGGTGACTCCCAGGTATTTCACATTTGGTTCTTTCTGAAGTTTGTGACCGTGGAGCTCATAGGCCCGTTCTAAAATAAGGTTTTCTTCCTCCGGGTCATGTGAACTATTGAGCATTTCTGAGGGTGAAAGCTCATTTTCCATTGCCCCTTCCATTCTGCAAGCTTGTCCAGGTCCTTCTGTAGGCGGACCTGGTCATGTGTAGTCTTGATGGTGTCGTGACATGCTGTATCATCAGCAAACAGCCTTGATACTGAAGACAGTCCTACTGGTAGGTCTTTAATAAACAGTAGAAACAAGGAGGGACCTAGAACTGATCCCTGCGGGACTCCTGATTCTACTGAGACATACTCTGACCTTGAGCCATTTACAACTACAGCCTGCTTTCTGTCAGACAAGAACTCACTGATCCATGTATTGACTTTACCGTCAATGCCATAATGCTTCAGCTTATGTACCAGCAAGCTAGTTTTGCATTTGGTGTGGAATGTGTCTTGCCCTTGGGGTCATTGTTAGGCCAATGATTTTGAAGCTAAATGTTTTTGATGTGGGTCACATGGGTAAGAGTTCTCAGACTTGTTAGACATGATGCAAACAGTGTGATATTTTGGCACAGGGCAGGTCTCTTTTTAACATCAATAGTCACCACTAAGGATCTAACAAGATGTTTTGTACTCGACCAAATGGAGCATCTTTTGCAGGAGAGAAATTTTGCAGGAGGGAAAACTGTCAGATGTTTGTTTGGTTAGAGTTGAAAAGATGAGAAATTCAAACAAACAGTTATGTGGTGGGTAACCAGACACTTCTGTTTGCCAACCAGGAAGCAGTAGTCCAGGTTTCCAGCACACAGTCTGAAGCCTTCTTGGCACCCAGATTGATATTTAGCCCTTTTCTGGTTTATTGCACAATGAAAATGTTAGACCTTCCAACTCTGAAATTTGATGCCAGATCAGTTGTCAGGCATCTGCATATCTTTAAAAGACCTTGAGTGTCTATGACCTTGACAGCCTGTTGATAATGACTGAGACACCAATGTCATTGAGTTATAGTTCTGTTGTGCATTGTACATTGTGCACCTCCGTTGAACTGCCAGGTGTCAGGAAGTGTTCTTGAGGATTCAGAGGTCAAATGGTAACATAGATGCAATTTCTATAATTACAAAAGTCATTTGGTTCACTTTAATACTACTGGATATCGTAGACATATTTTGAATGTGTTTTTGTTAATTTTACATAATATGTACAATCTTCTAGTAGTCTACTTTCCTCATAATTTATTGGCTGTTATATTATTCATTGTTGGCTTGTTAACTAGTTGACATTCCTTGTTCGAACAGACATGTCAACCTTTTCACATGTACATCAGAAATGATACTCAGATTTTTGCAGAGATAAGGCAGTTATGGAAATTACGGTATGCAGAAAGTCCTAGAAAATCACAGCTGCAAATTTTGACATCACTTGCACTTTTTGTCCACCTTCAGTTCAGATATATCTGTTTTAACTTACCTATTTTTTTTTCAATTTTAGAAGGAATGTCTGTTTTCAAGATCCAATGACATTGTGGATTCGTCATGCTCCTAAACTAACATTTTTTCCCATTCTGTCAGTTAAAATAAACCTTTGTTTTTCTCAATAACATGTGCAAAGCTAGAAACACACTGCCCCTGATCAGTGCCATGTGTGACTGTTTGTCTTCTGAGCTACTGTATAGCATAGTGTACTCTCTGACTCAAAGCAGAGTTTGAAGGGAGATGTTTTTTGATATTCACGTTTCAATCTGTGGAAATTAGCCATAAGAAAAGTCGGGTAGTAACCAGAAGAAGGTACTAGTACTAGTAGTTCTGTAGCAATCTCTCCCATCAACCTCTGCCTGTGGCCGTTACTGGGTTGTCTTGATGGTTACAATATTTTAGCAGACTAGTCTTTACACCATGAACATTACAATGAATCAGTCTTGAAAACTATATGTACAAATGTACTTAAAAATGCTTTTTTACCTTCTTTGTTCTCATACATTATAATTATTCACCCCTAGCTTCCCAGTGTGCAGCTGTAGTGGACGTGTTTGACCCAGCCCCCTGCCTCGCCCCCTGCTCCAATGACAGGGAGTGTCCGCCTGACCAGGTGTGCTGTAAGGTGTCGCCCAGTAGTGACTGTGACCATGAGTGCCAGGTGCCAACAGAGACAGGTGAGTGTCCACCTGCACAGTGTTTCCCAGCAGTGGTTTGTATTTGTATTTATCGTTGTTGCCAAATATTTGAATAGTGGATATAGTCTCAGGGGCACTCAGAGATCTCAGGTAATTTGATGGGTTCCTAATACTATACTTATAGTGATCAAGCTTATGTGGTAAGGACTTTTCTTTGACCTTATTTTTTCTGTCTGATGATACAAACATGTGCTCCTGTCTGTTAAATATCGAAACTCGCATTTGCATTTTCGATGGAGATTCAGAAAACATACCTAGCAGAGTGAAAGAAATAAAGAATTGTTGTTTTTTCAGTGGAGTGTATTGATCCAGTAGCAGGTGTGTTAGCTCCAGGAGAGCAGATTGAGAATGGAGATGGGAACTGTTGGTAAGTGAAAGGACAACTCTCCTTTGTCAAAGGCTAATCATAAAAGCCATGCCATATAACCTCTGTGAACATTTATTTGCTGTGTGTTATATACACAGGTATGCCACTTGACTTTTGTTAATGAGGGAATCTCTAGTGTAATAAATAAATCAAAAATGAAATTTTACTTCATTTTTTAAAGTATTTTGTATGTTTATTTTGTTTCTATCTACTACAGTACCTGCCAGCACTCTGGTGAAGTAACCTGTACCAATGGGCCATGTAACACAGGCGAGTCTAACTCTAGTCCTTGCATTTTTTGATGTTTTGAATCTAGCAAAAAGCAGTTTGTTGTTTTGAATCTAGCAAAAAGCAACAGAAAACTGGATCAATAATAAAACACCAACATCTCCATCCTCTTCTGTAGACAGCAGCACATTTACCAAGCCTGGGTTCTGTCCGGATGCGGTGGGTTCTCAGCTGTGTGGGGAGTCCATGTGTACGACTGACTCTGACTGTGCAGGGAGCGACAAGTGTTGTCCTGCCATTGATGCCTGCCAGTACTCCATGACATGTGCAGCAGCGATAGGGGCCTCTACAGGTCTGTCTGTCACACCTGTTATATATAGCAACCGCTCTAGGGATTTCAAGAAAAATGGTCACTGTAGACAGGGGGTGTCTGTAGACTGGAGTCTTAATGCTTGGGTCGGTGGACATTATGAACAAAACGAAATTTCTTTTGTTGTTGTCTTTCAGGTTGCATTGCCAACAGGTCCCCGTATGCAGAGGGAGAAGTGGTCAGGGTAGTGGACAGGTGTAACAACTGGTGAGCTAAGCTCAATATTTTTTAACTTCTTCAAGTGCAGGACCTGCCTACTGTATTGTCAACAAGTTTTAGTCATCTAAAAATTTCTCATCTTTCATGCCAATTAGAATAAAGTCACAAAACAGAAATAAGCATTTTTTTCCTTCTTCCTGAAACATCATTCTGTGTTTACTTTCCCAGCACTTGTCTGAGAGGAGAGGTTGTGTGCACCGATGACCCCTGCCCGTCAGGTGCTGCACAACAGGAGGAACCAACAGTCAGTTCCCAAGCTGTGGTGGTACGGTCCACAGACTTGTTGTGCTTAGGTGCTCTTCTGTTGTTTTATCTTTATTGACATGTTAACTCTGCTTTACTCTGAAACACTTGTTGTGATAGCTATAGCTGTAAAGAGGTTTTACAGTCAGCCAAGTTCTTGCTATAAGAGGCCTTGATGGAGTTGAATTTTTTTGTGTTTAAAGGCTTCTTTGTAATGTATTTTAAAAAAGGCTGGACCATGACTTGCATTGATATTTTTTGCATATGTTAATGTCATTTCATCTTAATTGGTAGATAAGAAGGCCTTTCTTTGCAACCCCTTTACTTTTTATCTAACAGAGTAGATTTCTTACACAACAAGATGGTATTTCTTAGCTTGTGGAATCATGACTGTACCATTAACAGTATTTGGTGTCATGGAGCCACCCATGGCCATAGGTTGTGTTTTATCCAAATGCCAGACAATGCTATAGAAAGTGTAAACGTTGCCATATTTTTAGGCTGTAAGCTTTTTATTACAATGTTGGTTTCTTGATAAGATGTTTTAAGATATTTTGAGGCCTTTTGGTAATACATTTGTACTAGTATGTAGTTTCTTACTGATATCAGTGTCTTTTCAGATAAAAACTCTAGTTTCAGCAACAGTGAAGTTCTTACATAAATGGAGAGTGACAGAATATTTTGACACATAGCTTGAAGTGATCCTGCAAATATGATTAGTATGTGACATATTATGTCAAAGTCGCTTGGTGTACTACTACTCGCTTTTTACAGATACTATCCCAGCGTTGCCTCACATAGTAACTAAATATACCATTATTATATTGTACTTACTGATGTTAGCAGCAGTGCCTAAAATTGTTTTCAGTATTTTGTGATCAGTATCAAGACTTGACCATATTATTTATATGTTTCCTCCAGGATATACCTGACTGTGCCAAACATTTGAAGCCATAATTTTACGTTCTTTACACATAGATTTTATGAAGACATTAATGCTTTGAAAACCCCATGCAATGGGCAGTAATAATGACAAATAATAAATTTGTAGTTATACAAGTGGTTTGTGTCTGGTCTATGTTAGGTCACCCAAAGTACTTTAGGACAGGGGCTATACATGACTTTGTAGAACAGTGAACCAGTTAATGCAGTTCTTTTCACCTACTGATGTTTCAGTGGACCATCCTTTTACCAGTCTGCAACTGTTTTCTTCACAATTTGGAATGTTTATTGTTATTATTTGATTCATAATGAATTACCACTTAACATTGCAAAGCTACTTAGTAAATAACCTAATGCTTTTTTCATGTACATGACTGTTTCTCCTTAAATGTAAAATGGAGACATGGTGTGTTGTCTTTGTGTCCACAGGAGGGAACTGTCTCAAGCTCATCTATTTCTATGTATAAAATAAAGTTACAATTCTTGCTTATTAGTTGAGAGCCCAACATGTTCTACAAGTTCCCCCTTCAAATTCACCTCATTTCAGCATACCCATCTCATGTCAAATGCATGTCATATCAGCATACCCATACTCGGCTGCAGAACTTTCCCTGGTAAAGTCTTGACCTTCTTCCTTTTCCCAACAAAAGGAACTCTGCGGCAGAGTCTGCTCAGCTCTGCTCCGAGGAGCACTCCGGGCTTGGTCTTCTTTTTCCCCACCTGCCTCCCTCCGCGGATGTTAACCACAATGTCCTTCCTCCTCTGGGAAGCCCTGGAGAGGCTGAAAATGTCCGACATGGAGGGAGCTCGCCGCGCTCTCTTAGACTTGGGTGACTCCTTGGAGCTCTGCCTCCGTTTGGAGGTGCGTCTGCCTGTGGTGTGGGTGGACTCGCTGGTGGACGGCATGCTGGACAAGTCTATGGGCTGACCATTCCCAGCAAAGGCAGCATCGGGGGTAAGTCCGCCCTCTCCACCTGGACAGTCGGGAAAGCGGACGACCCCGCCTCTACAATAGGCTCTGCATCCTGGTCAGACTCCTCCTCTTTGGCAGGGACGAAGGGAGCGCCGTTTCCCACTCTCACCGCCAGGCTGTCTCCGAAGAAGCTGTACAGGTCAGAGTAAATCTGGGTGATGGGGACAGGGCCCTTGTCCCTCCGGTGGCTGTTGGAGCCTGCAGTACTGTTGGATTCCAGCAGGTGGCCAAACGTCCCGATGGTGAAGTCACTGGCATCGGGGTGGTGGGGACTCTGGTTGGGGGAGCTCTCGTGGCTGGACTCGGCGTGGGGGTCTGAGCCATTCTGCTGGTATGTCTTTAACAGTAACTCTGCTGCAGACTGGGGTGGGAGGGAAAATGAACATATTTTACATACAGGACATGCTATTATTCTATTACATCAAGGTGACATTCATACAACATGAAAACAAGAATGTCGTGGTTGTGGTTGTTATGGGACTTTATTTTGGAAAATCCATTAGTGTGTGCCCAAGTTATGAAAGCAGTTTACTTTCTCAACCTGTGATAAACTGATTTATGTACAGCTCTGAGTTTGCAGAATTTAAACAGGAACTACAGTATTTTGAGTGAAATCCCTACCAGAATGGCCCCCTGCACTCTATGTGCATCAGCTTTGGCCTGTGCATTAGATATGGTCCTGTCCTCCATCCAGCTCTGCAGGAAGGGCCAGTAGGTACCCAACTGGGGGTAAAGCACATCCTCAACAGCCTGGGGAAAGGTAAAACAGAGTCATTAACATCCAACTCTGTAGGTATAAACCCAGGTTAGACATCCAGGTAATACGATACGCCAAAAAGCAGTTACTCAAGCAACTGGATATGATTTTGGAAATGTCAGACGTTTCAGCTAGCATCCACTAGCTTTCGTCAGTGACTGAGAGACCAGACGGGAAATGCAGGTTTATAAGCACTAACTATTAATTGATATGCAAATAAAGTGAAGTCAGACAAGTCAAGACAAGAATGCAAATTAGTCAGAAAGTTCCTGTTATACAGAACAGGAGCTTTAAGTGTTTCTGTCCTCAGGGCTGAGAGTGCCAAATCCCAAGTGCCGGAGAGATGGACCCGTAGCCCCCTTCCCTGTAAGTGTTGAGGGTGGGGTTGTACATTCTTTTCGACTTCCAAAAAAATTGTCCTCACTTTATTTGCATATCAATAAATAGTGCTTATAAACCTGCATTTCCCGTCTGGTCTCTCAGTCATTGACGAAAGCTAGTGGATACTACATATAGCTGAAACATCTGACGTTTCCAAAATCATATCCAGTTGCTTGAGTAACTGCTTTTTGCCGTGTAAGCCCAATTACTAGTATGATGAAAGTGCTCCCCAGTGTGGCTTCAGTTAAAAGCAAATGGCAACCTAATATCTGCATGTCTGTATACTAGACTAGTAGTATATCCTATTAATTTTGACTATACACATGACTGTAGATGTTACCTTGCTCCCCAGTGCTGTGAGTCCTACCACAGCTCCATAGTGAGAGCACAAAGGTCTGGCTGGGTCCACCAACACTTTCTGTAGGGCAAGCAGCAGCTGTTTCTGTAATCCCTCCACACTCATGCAGCCAGACCTCAGGGAAGGAACAGCACAATGTTAGGCTAAGTAGCATCAGAGACTAAAAATCACATTCATGACATCAGAGACAGGCCCCAAGAAGCTTGATGGCCAAGACATCTAAGTTTGGGAATTAGGAACATCCTAATCTTGTTGATTTATGCATACAATGTATTTGCTAGCATGGACCAATTATGGTCAGGCTGAGCTGTCAGTCACCATGGTCATGGATGGTGCTCGAGGATGTGGTTTCCATAGCAGTAAGGCCAAGGAAAAAAAATGTTGTGTTTCCTGTTTCAGTCCAGAAAAAATTAGGGTCGGAAGGTAGGGATTATCTTATTTTATTTTTATTTTTTATTTTTTTAGACTTTGCTGATTGCTGTGTTTATATAAGCAGAACATGATGAAAAATCGATTGTGCAATATTATATTTCATCACTCAGGTACTCAGGTGTCAGATCATGGAGCTTTAAACGGTCGATCAGCTGGAAGAACTTAACAGATGTCCCTAGCCCTTGC